AGCCCACAAGAAAGACTATATACCAAGGCTCATTAGTTTGGAGTAATTCGTAAGGAGCCCGGCTCTTTCTTCCTCCAGGAGCCCTCGGGCCTTTTCATAACGCCCCAAAATGGGCATCGCCGTCTGTCTCTCTCGCTTACACGTGTTTCTCGGTAGCGGCGTCTCTCTCGCTCCTTCGCCCGAGTTTTTTCCTTCCCCTTTTTTTCGCACACCTGTATCACGTGGGTGCGGTGTTGCCGGGTGGTGCTTCTGCGTCTTGAGTAATTCCCTCGCGGTTTCGAGTGGTTTCTCGAGGGTGCATACCAGACGGAGTAATGCGGTTTTGTTGCTCGACGGTGAATGGCGATGACCCGCCGTCTGCGAGGGAAGTCGCACGGTACCGGTAATGGTTGTGTCGGGGGTCATGTTGGGTGATTGGGTAACCCTCGAGTTGAGGCGCGGGTATGTTTCCGGCGGACGCATTTCGCTGATAATGCCGCCACGATGGTTTGAAGCTCGTCAGGGGTGCAGAATGTGTTCGCTGCGATCCGGTGTTGTTGCGTAGTAGTACTTCTTCGATTTTACTCACAGCCTAACGCGCGATTTTACAGAAAAGCATCCGATTGCTCAGCAAAATGTGTCATTTATTCGAATTTTTTGAAGCATTGAGGGTAGGTGGGAACCAAAACTTCACTTTTGAAAAGTTCCTCAAGGCGGAAGATTTGTCCCACGTCTGCCGCGATCATAGGATCGCCTGATCGGGCATTCTCTGCAGCCCCCTGTGGTTCCGATCCTGATGGGTTTACATAGTTCGGAAATACGACTCTGTCATAGCTGGTCAGCAAAATGTTGAATTGCTTTCTTTTAACATTCACTTATTCGAAATGTTTTGATTTTTATACTAATGCAGCCATGGCTAAGTCTAGTTTTGATGGTTGAATCATACGCGGACCTACAAAAGTGGTATCTGTCCTAACATCGTGTTCCCATAACCACATTGTTAAAAACCTCTTGAGGGAAGCCCGCATGGTCTGAAGGATCATATCTTGTCTATTTAAATTCGGGCGTTGAAATTGTGTCTCCAGTTGGATCCCACTATTTTCGGCTTATGTACCATTTTCAACCACCAAAGCAGGACTCTTCGACTACTGCATCTATTTCTTAAGGGCTGAAACAACTCAAGCCCGGGAGTAATCCACATTTAAGTAGCATTTTACCACACCAGTTCTAAAGAACCCTAGCTTGCCGAAATCTCCAGTCGCGGAGTGAGCTCAGATTATGACCCCATTATGAAGATTCGCAAACCAGTCAAAAGTGAGTGGTTTGAAGAGAATCTCATCAGTATGTATTTTTAGCTCCCATGTTTTGCGAATGTCTTACATCATTAATATGTGTCGCACGTACAAAAAAAAATACTAAAGTTTAAGACTAGCCCGACAACATGGCACGCATTTCCTCCTGGTCCTCCAATCCATTGTGGCAGACAAATGTAAAGAAACCAGTCCAGCGGTGTTGCCAAGTCGTGGATTCAAATCTCACAACCACTCCGCTAATATCGGTAAATTTGGTTTTTTAAGTAGCAACTTTGACGTCTGGCGTGCGTGCCCCCATGCTCCAGCTGTTTACCAATGGGTAGCCCCCCGCCCACCCCCAACCCCTTTGTCCGTGAGCCTTCGCGTTCCGTTTCTCAATCCCCGGGTCGATCCTTGGATCCTTGTCGAATGACCTTGATCGATAAATAACACTGCTTGTATAGGGTTTTATCGAGCGAGTTTACCGATTGCGATTCGACGAGCTTCGACCAGCTGATCTGTTTCTGATTGAACCAACACAGGGTAAACACTCCAGGGATCTGACGGCTATCACCGATAAATCCCATCGAAGACACCTTGCTTGCTCCAGCTGACTAGTTATCGAGGTGGTCACTGGTTCGCGTACACGTGTTTTTCGGGTGTTTTCGATGGTGGTGTATTTGTGACTGGGATTTTTTTCTGCGCTACGGAGATAGGTTTTAATTTTGGAGGTTTTTTTTTTATTTATTTTGTGAAACGGTTGAATGACCGGAATTAAGTGATAGTATTCTTGTCCTAAGTTGTGTCGAACTCTGCGTTGTTAATCAGATTGATCGGAGTTTTGGCGTAATAAAAGAAACGGCTTTATTCTTGTGTGGAGGTAATATTATTTTATTAGTCTTTTTTTCATGCCTTATCCCGCGGATTCGTGAAAAAGTTGAAATTAGAACCAGAAAAATTTATCTTGATTCAAGTCTCGATCATCAAACCTACTTTTTTCTTTGTTTCCGAAATTGTTGAAGTAAATCCTGAGCTTTCCAAATTGCGGTATTTCCATTAATCATCCGGCTGTTTGAGAAATATCAATTTTCCCATGCGGAGTATCGGAACAGCTTTGTTATAGTCGGAAAAATCAGTAAATATCATCGCGACTATGAAATCGATTCCTAACCATAACATAACCTCTTCCCTTAGCCGTAATGAGAAAATATCGATACCAGCGTGTAATAAGCCAGAAACTCGCCGCATTCCCACCTGCCGATCCATCACGCTCCCGAGAGCAACAGTTCGAGGGGAGGCCCGTTCAGAGCGATCGAAATCCGACCTGTTGCGTCAATCGCGATCCAAACACCCATAATTTCACCGAGGATTCCGCTAATCCGCATTTCGGGGTCCCGGAAAACGAGTTCCTCAAGGAATCTCATCCTCGACCGCCCCTGCCCCCCTCC